AATTCATTGCTGATTAACCTGTGAAAGTAAAGATCAGTAGGAGCATCATTAGTGTAAAATACATAGGCAACAAATTCTCATTACAACTTAATATACACAGCCACATACACAGACTGCAGAGGGTCATGGGGAATGGCTAATGGTAGCCGACAAATGTTGGGTGTATTAGTCACAAAACATTTGCTGAATTCCATCAGAATGTCGTGACAACCTTCACAGCTAGTCCCAGTGAGCTGCAGGAGTCGGTGGAGTTTGCCTGTGACAAGCCGTCAGTCTATCTTGGTTGAGCTTTATAGCACAAGTCAAAGCAGTCAGCGAAGATTGAAGTGACAGAGGCCCACGGAGTAAATAGTGAAACATGCAGCACATCATGAAATATTCAGTCAGGGTGTAAAAGCTCTAAATGCTTTTTCAGTTATTAGCACCTGCACTGGCTGCATACATCTAACACTAACAGCATGTTAATTGCCACAATTTGTTAGGATAGTTGTAGGAGAAATTTCAAAGGCATGAGACATTCTCTAGTGTGTCTTCAGTCCTTATCTTCAGCAAACCCTGTCCTTCTTCCTAAAATTATGTGTGTGCTTATGCTCGCAAACACACATCCACGGACAAAGTAAGGTAGGAAAACTCAAAGTTCCTGGCTCATACACATGGTGACTTTCAAGACTCTGAGTCTATACTAGGAGACTGCTTATCATCTCATTGTGTGGAAGAATCAGACACAGTGTATCTATGTGAGAAGGGCAAAATTGCAGACAAAAGTTCCAGACTCAAAATCTGCAAGTAAGTTTGGAGTGGTTATAAATGTCTGCAAGGAAAGCAGTGCTCTTTAAAATGTAATGTTGGCTTCTTCACAGTAGGGGTGCTGCAAATGGGATTTATGGTCTAGCTGTTGTCTTCCAGGCAGCCTTTTTGGGGTTGTTGCTGTAACATGGCATTCAATGTCATTCTCAAGTTTAATTGATCATAAGTGGCATAATATGCTTTTGAAAACCTTGAAAAGAAGGCATTTTGCTCTTCATTTTAAGTCATGTGTATGCAATATCTGCCACAAGAGCCAGAGAAGCAAATTTTTAACTCGAGTTATGAATGAGGGAAATGTAGCTTTCACTCTGTTTTTTTCCATGCATGCTATTCATGCCTGTCTTTTCCGGCCTGGAATGACTAAATGCTTTGGTCACTGCAAGCCATAAAAGCCAACATCTCATTTAAAAAAAAAAAAAAAAAAAAAGGATTTTATTTTTGTTTGTTTGTTTTGTTTTGTTTTGTTTTTTGTTTTTCCATAATGTGAATTTTTCAAGCATTTTTCAAGCAGATAGTATTATAGCCCTGGAGGACATCATAACTACAACACTAATACAAATATTTCCAGAGTAACTTGCCAATGTGACTCAAGCATAGCTTGACAGGGCCATTTTCAAGGGTGAGGCAGACAGAGATGCTCTAGAAACATTCAGTCCCTGATTTGGCTATAAGAACAAATATAATGCTATGTGTAGTATGAATGTTAATGGGAAGAGGGTGTCCAAACCCCTTAGGCAGATTTGACAGCCTTGGCCTCTCTTTGTCTGTCTTAATTAATTTTTACTATTTACAAAACAAGTTTGGATCAACAGATTTATGAATGTGTATAGATCTAAAGTAGTAATACTGCGTTGTTAATATAGTACTTCAGAAAAACAACATGGGCTAAGAAACAACAACAGCAAAACAAGTCCAAAGATATATTTTTATTTTTTTTCCCTAAGTATCCACTATTATCTGAGGACAAAGTTTGACCCTAGAAACAATAAGTCGTAAACAATTTTCAGCCTCTGCAGACATCTTCAGAGATTGCTTTATGGAGGATGGAAAATCATTGACTAAAGAGATGAAGATATTAGCTTATCTCAGAAGATTCATACGTTCAATATAATGGACACAATTGTAAAAAACACAGATTCTGAAACACAAAGCATGGCTAGTCTTTATCGCATTTTCATTCTCAGACAATAATCTGTTATCTTACAACAAAAATAGTACAACAGGCTCTATTAGCATACTTCCTTGTTGTGTGCCCCTTCCAATTTGCTGCTTTTAAGACCACCACTTGCTGTACTCCAAACAGTGAAAGTAGAGGATCTAAATAGTTTATCATCCTACAAATAAGTGCACATACTTCTCTCTCTATATATGTATATATTATCTAAAACTTCAAAAGGAAACTTATATTTGATTATTCACACTCCTCATGCCATCTACAACACTCCTGTGTTTAAACCTAATGTAACTGGAAAATAAAGTATAGAGGTAAAATTCTGATTTATCTTTGGCACAAGCTACTTTAAATTTTCCCTTATAGGATGCAAAGCCCTTATCCAAGACGGGACTACAACTAGGCTTTAAGCACTCACGTACTAAAAATTGTCTCAGACCTCAAGGCAGTTGGCCATCATTTCAAGTCAGATATCTGTTCTTATATTTCAATTTGTAACCTTTCTGTGAAAGGGATTACAGTATTGCTAAATATTAATTTGTGTGAAAGCTTCAACTGATCTATTTAGTTTCAAGTCTAAGAGCATTCAAGATACACTGATTAGAAAATTAGAATGGTGCATTTTTTACAAATTGGTTTAAGGTAGTTTTTCTGATAAAGGGGAAAATTCCCTCCCATGTGCATCTGGTTTCTCAGAGAAAAAGAATGAGAAGAGGAGATTTGATCGGTGAACTTTGCCTTTTTTTTTTTCAGCGCTGTGCTAGGAAAGGTTCGTGGAGAATTGTCTCATAAAAATTTGAGGAGAAAAATTAAAATAAAGGACAAATAAAAACATCTCTCCTGAAGATTCCTCACCTTTTGACAACGTTTCTTATTAGGAAACATGTAGCTAACACATTCCGTCAGAAAACAATAACCAGGATAAAGTCCCATTAAATGTCTGAACTCCAGTACTACCTTCAAATAGTATTGCATCCATGGCTGCAGACCTTACTGTACCACGTGCAAGTATGACAAGAAAAGAACACACTACGAACAGCATTAGAGTCAGATTTCAAGCTAAATTGCCATGGTTGCAGCTCACTCACCAATGGAGTAAAAAAGTATGCAGACTCTGGATATTTTTATAGAAATTAAAAACAAACAAAAAAACTTTGGTACAGGTGACAACGAATCATCTCTGTCTCCCACAGAACAGGGAGCACAATTTTGCAAAAACTTTCATTACTAAATGTGGAGCAGGGTCAGAGACTGCATGCAGTCCCCTAGAGAGTGAAATGCATTGAACTCTATCTCTGTTGAGTGAATGTAAAAAAACTTTGAAAACAGTGTTTTTTCTTTCCAAATGTCCAATTTATGACTTAGCTGCCCACTGCACTGTTATTTCTTAAAGCATGAAGAGACTCTGGCTTAACTGGATCATTATATTAATAGTTTCTCAAGTTCTTCTAAGCTACCGTCTTTGGAGTTGACCCTGTTTGAATGAAATGAATGAGAATGTTCCACTGACTTCAATGGCTATATGATCAGCGACTATGAAATTACAAAAAGTAATCACCCTGAAGGAATTAGAGATTATACCTTTCTTAGTCATGCAAGTGTAACTGTGTTAAACATGGTAACTTATCGTCCTGCATTCAGTGTAAATTAACCTATGTCATGCACAACATTCAAAGTTTCCTTTAGTGGACAGTTGAAAAGAAAGAGTCTTACCACATTCTGCTGGCTCAAGTGCTTGAAAAGCAGGAAACTCCAGTTTTGAGAGTTCAGCCAATATGGGCATTTCCTTAAAAGTCTTCAAAATGGAAACTGCTTTAAAATTTGTCTGCCTGTCTCTGAATATTTGGCACATTCTTATAGTAGAAATATAGTCTTCTTTGAAAGGTTACAATTCTGTGTCAGTATATTTCTAGCAGTCATGACAGAAACCTAAAGTAAAGACTGTAGTTTTCCCAGAGAAAGATCAGTTCCTTGTTTACTTGTAATATTTCAAGGATCAGTTTACTGGTTCTCTGTGAAGAAGATCCTTCATCTAATGTTTTGTGCTGTGTAATGTAATCACTTAGGGGTCCTTACTGAGAGTGTGAGAGTGTTGAAGTTCTTAGCCTAATGTGTTTTTTTGTTTGTTTGGTTGGTTTTTTTTTGTTGTTGTTGTTGTTCTGTTTTTCAGCGTATAAATAAAGGACTGCGTATTGTATGAATCTGTGCTTAGGTGTAGCTGTACTGCTGTAAGGAAGTTTATGAAAATGTCTTTTTATTTGGTTCTCCTTTGAGAAGCCTTGTGTTTTCAAATCTTGCTAGAAAACACATACACACACAAAAGGAAAAAAATAACAACACCACACACTTAGGAGGTTATCACGGATACAGTTGTCAGAGAAAATGGACATTGTTCTTTGGTATTAAAATCATGTATTCCAGATGTGGGCATTTGTTAGTCAGTCCGCTCTAAAATGACATACCGCTGAATCTTTAAAGGGCTTCAGTTTGGAAAAGCAAAATATGATTGGGCAAATTGCTAAAATATTTAAAGTGCAGCCTGTTAAAGCTTTTACTGCGAAGAGCATCACGTCAGAAGTTATATGTGGTAAAAGCAAGTAATTGGCTTTCCATACTTATGCCAGTCAGTCAGCATGGGGCTCTATTCCTATCCTTTCTACTTCATTGCAGATGCTAATAGCAACTCTGATATTTATTTTGGAGGGGTGGGACTGGCAAAAAAACAAAACAAAACAAAAAAACTTTTATATACATGATGGTGTCAGAAAACCCTGTTTAAAACTAAATGGTTATTGGTGTGGAAAGAGCATGTAAAATCTTTCAAATTGCACCCAAAATTTAAAACTTAATATTTTTTTTCTTTTTAGCCTTTGTTTTAAAGTGCCTGCACAGAAGCATGTTAAAGTGTAAATACATTTCATTTTTTACTTTTTTTCCCTCTGTACACAGCTCTTGGGATATTTTTCCATCCATAATTCATAATATTTTCCACTTACGTTGTCCTCAACTTGTTTTTCCCCAGGCATGACCCCTTGTTAATTCCTGGCAATGAACAGATTGACAATATGGATGCCAATGTGAAAAAATATGACTCTACTGGGATGTTTCATTGGTGTCCAGCCAAGGACATTGAAAAGGTCATTTTGGTAGGTACTGATGATAAGTTGTGTTTGAAAAGAGATGATTTGAACCAATAGCACTGATGTCTAACATATTGATAAATTAATCTCTACTATCCTTTAAACTAGCATATTGAAATCAGAAACACAATGTGCTAAAATTGAAGCGAGCATTTTGGTTAAGGAATTATTTTTATTATTATATAAATATGTATGCCAGAATCAATAATAAAAATCATTCCAAAATATACTGCTTTTTTTTTGTTGTTGTTGTTTTCTTTTTTCATAAACTAAAATTTGCATATTGAGTTTAAATCTTTAGAGAATCCATGCTGGAAATATTTAAATGTTTACGTACCCCATTTATGTCTTTACACAAGGTAGTAATGATTCTAATACAGGCAAGTGCTGCTTTGCATTATCTCTTATTTTTTTATATGAATTTTGCTCTCAAAACTTCTCTCTCAATTTCCAACATGACAAGATGCCCAAATAGGCCAGAGTAAGTAGTACTACTAGTCTGCTTTTCTAGCATGTTGCAGTGAGCCTAGTCTGTTTGTTTCATTTGTTTAACTGGGGAAGCATCAAACTGACTCAAGTCATTAAAAATAATTAGAAGGCCTATCACAGTCTATTTTGCTCAGTGAAGGTTTGTGCCACTTGTGTTCATGTACTCATACCTAAGAGTAACAAGTAACTAACTCCAGATTTCATTCGCAAAACTGATGATATCTGAAATGAACTCCCTTGTGGATCTTCACTTTGTTGCACATTATAAAGCTCTTCCTGAGCCTGCTATCTTAGATTTTCCTGCACTGTGGCATGGTGTAGCCAATGATGGTGACAGCGCTAGTTTATTGTAATGATCAGGGGTAAAAAGCTTGTTTCCACTTCTCCTTGGGTGTTTCTGTTTTAAATATGACATTGCTCGGAATTGCAGTATTGGTGTTTAGATAGTCAAGCAAGTCAATTCCAAATTCTAGAGGCTGAACTGTGGGACAGAGCCTGGCTAAACAGCTTTAATTAGTATGCATTTATATGTATGTATTCAGCAGGCAAGGAGGAGCAACCCTGCTGCACAATATTTTGTAATAGACAGTGATAAAAATTTGCCTTCATGTTCAGAACATATTTTAGAAGATGACTTAGTATGACCTTTATATACTGTCCCACTCTTCAGAGTGTTTCTCTGAAAATGTCACTGTGGAGTGCCTCACTTCTTATCTCTTGATGATGGCATGTCAGTTTTTACTCCTACTAGCCTGTGAATCTGTGCGTCTGGCCAGGTTCTTTTTGTTTTGTGCAGTATCACCGATAAAGACATTGCCAACAAAACGCTTTCCTACACCATGTTAAGCTCACAGTTCACAATGTATGTCTATGTTCAGATCCATGAAAATTTAACACTGTCCTTAGAGATCACACAAATACAGTTTAGTACATAATTTAAAGATTTCCCAGGTTGTCCACTAACTGATACTTGACAATGTCTTGGTAAGGAATAAAATTAATTTTCCTGCCCAACATCTCTTTTGACTCTGCAACATTTGAGCAGTATCAGGTAGTAAGGACTCACCTTTTTGATACAGTCAAATAGACATGACTACTTACAGATTAACAACTGTGCAGTGCCTTTTCTTATATATTTTTTTAAAGATTTGGTCTGCCTGCTAAAGTCTCAGTATTCCATGTAGAACTATCTGTAGAGGCATGGGACAACTTGCATGCTTAACTTCATCATTTACTCTTGTATTCTTCTGTATGAAGGGCCAAGACCACTCTTTTTATGGGAGAGTTGTACAAACATCAGGTTAATTACCCAAGAGAAACTGGAAGCTTGTATTCTTTTTAACAGATTAGAGAACTTCTAATCAGAGTTCCCCTTATTATATAATGAACATCTCTGCTACATATTCTAGTCCGTATTACACATTGTTATGCTTCCACAATTCAGAAACAGGACATATAGTATGGATAAGTGAGAGGAAAATTAATGCAGCTCACCATTGCCTTATTCATTGGCAAAACTTCTTGGCAATATGATATCAGTGGATTTTCAGTTACTTGATGGAGTGCAGTAATGATAAGATTGGCTCCAGAAATGAAGGTCATGGTTTCCTAACAACTTTATTTAATCATCGTGGTGTTTGAATTGCCTGCTCAGCTGATATTACCACTGATGAGATTAATGCAAAAATGTAATTCTTGTCACTGAGACAAGAAGATAATTCTGAACATCAATTAAATATACTTCATGAAATTTATTTCTTTCTGTCTATCCAAATACTCAGGAAGTCTGATTGGCCTGAGAAGTTAGTATTAGTCATGATCTTACACACTAGATTTTTCTTTCTGAGAGAAGCTTGAAGTACGGTGGACGTCTATGGTAAAATGGAGCAGTGCAGAGGGTTTTTTGATTGCTTCTCAGGGTGGTAGCAGCTTGTTCTAAAATGAGAACATTGACTCTGAGAGAATATGGTCCTCAACTCACAAGATACCTGTGATGCCGCAAAAGCCTTATTAAGACCACTGAGCACTCACACATTGCTTTTCAGATTGGTTCTGAAAAAACACTAGTGATTTGTAAGCTAAAGCATGGTTTTGCATCTCTTTCCTATAACCCTTCTAATGGCTGAATGCACAGTAAGTCAAAATCTGTTCATAGCTAAATCCATAGTGCTTCTGTTGTAACCAGAGTCTTAATCCACATGTGCAGCAACATATACAGGATCAGAATTTGGTCCAGTACAATGTCTTTCTGAGTGCTGAAGGATTTGTGAACAAGAATGGAATTTTCTTCTGCTGAGCACATTTAATGAAGGATAAATAAGTGTAAAAATGAACAGCTATTATCAAACTGCTTCTTTGTGCATGAACAATATTGACAGTTGTATTTGTCCTGGTTTAAAACTCACTATCTGATTTAAGCTTCCCTTTGTTTCATTTCTCCCTTGTCTTTTTGTTTTGTTGTGTTTTGTTTTTTAGACTCGAAGTGAAGCAGCGATGACAGTTTTAAGTGGGCATGTAGTCGTTTGCATATTTGGGGATGTTCAATCTGCTTTGATTGGATTAAGAAATTTAGTGATGCCATTACGAGCCAGCAACTTTCACTACCATGAACTCAAGCACATTGTGTTTGTGGGTTCACTTGAATACCTGAGAAGGGAGTGGGAGACACTGCATAACTTCCCAAAGGTTTCAATCTTGCCTGTAAGTCCAAAGCCATATTATTGATACTTTGTGATTTAGGACACCAACTGGACAGATTCATACTGACTTTGATCTTAGGGTTTTTTTTTTTGTTTTTTTTTTTACCTTTGTCTACTTATAGGCCTGAGGACTTAGCTTTTCCCTTACTGTGTCTATGAAAAGAGAGCCCTGTGAGACCTTATTAGAAGATATTTGCTGCAGTGTTCAGTGCCTCGTCATCCTCATCGGATGAATTTCAGCTGCTATCAAATGTATTAGCTGTGTTATATATTGAACATTCACTGTAGTGCACTGCATGTAGCCAGTTTTGATGTGACTTCCCTCACAGAATGATAGTGGTTATTTATGACATTATTGTTGCATTTATACCCGCAAAACCTTTGGAAAAAAAAATCATTTTATCTACATAAGAAGTGTCTAAATTTATAAAAACTTACTGTAGGTTGGCCAACTTTATAGGAACATTGATATGGTATTTCAGTTCCTGCCATACCCATTCTAAAAGAGGAATTTCTAAAGTTGAAGAAGTATGGCAAAACCTTGACCCTTTTGAAATCAGTGAAAAGCTCCTATTGATTTTAGTAGGGACAGCCACTAAAACCACCATTCAGAGGTTCTATTTCTCCACTCTATGTATAAGTGTTATTCACTTGTGTGCACAAAATGTAGAAACATGAACTCCAGTACAAACAAGTGAAGATGCATATCAGATCACTAGCATGATCATAGCTATAAATGACCCACAAAGGTACAGGCAGGAGGGAAATGATCTCATGGTAAAAGCACGAAAGCAATGCTCTAGATTTAACAGAGTAAAGTGAGGGTGGATGTTTTTATCAGAATGAAAAATTTGGAGTTTACCTGTTCTTAATAATTACATTTCAACAATTAAAAATAAATAAATAATGGATGTAATTTGCAGTGAATAATCAGGAAAATAGCAATAGAATGGGAAGACTGCCCTTACTTTATGATTAAGTCTGTATGTCCTTGTTACTGTAAATGCAGTTTTAGTGTTAGCCTGTAGCTTTTTTTCTGGAAACTGATCCAACACATGGTGTCACAAGATTCTCTGCTGTCACAGAAATGATGTCGGTATCAGATTTGGTCAGTTAGTTAATATTCTCCTCCTCTTGCCAATCGCTTTTAATTCCAGTCACTGTGAAGGATAAAGACTAAGGAATCAGTACCAAAATAATAATATTTGATCTGTGAGCAAAATGGAATCCAGCTGTATCCAGCACATTACATTACTGTAATGTATGTTTGTAAAGTTTTGATTCTGAATTCTGATGGGGCATTAAGGAAATGTATACTACCTTTACTTTCCCCAATCAGTTTGCGTCCAGCTCTAGAATAGTTTCAGTCTAATTTCAGGTTAAACAGCCTAAATTGTTGGTTAGTATACCTTTAAAAATACAGAATAAGTAAAGGAATTCTTGTATCTTATGTATCAAGGGAGCTGAAGACTGCACAGACTTCAAGGCCTTTTTTTTTTTTTTTTTTTCCCCTCAGCCTATCTGCTTCAAAATGGTGATATAAAGTAAAGCTATCAGCATTATTCTGATAAAAGTCTAGTAAAATTACTGAGGTCATGCTGGTAGAGATCATGTGTTAAATGGAGGCCACTCAAACTCATTTCTTTATTCACAGTGTTTTGGTTCACAAAGTAAGGTTGCTGCTTATATCTGATAGGGATGTGGTTACAGCTAGACATAAAAACAATTGTTAGTGTTTAAAAAAAAATTACCTAAAATTTTCATACAAAGTTTGTACTAAAAGATGTGTTTAAGCTACTGAGTAAACTCATAAAAAGTAGGCAAATGCCAATTTTAAATATCTTCAGGCAGCCTTAATTCTGTCCCTTTGCATAAAATCAGTAGGAGTAAGTCTTCAATTAATTACATGATTACATATTATTTTTCCCCACAGGAATCCTCCTTCACTTGGTGCACAGTACAGACACAAAGAGCAGAATTAAGGTGGCAAGAATAATCATATCTTAAGCTCTGAGTATTTTATAATGAAAGCATATCCTTTCAATATATGCTGTTTTCCAGGGGTTTCTGGCCTAAAATTTTTGAAAGTAACTTGAAATAGTCAAGCTGAAACTCGCTGGCCATCACTGCAGAAGAATTGAACCCTGCCTTCACTTGGCATATTTTAAAATCACTTTTGCATTGAATATTCTTGGTGGAGTGGTTCACCATGAGTGATCAGGAGATGGAAGAATAGGGTCTTGACTCTGTTTTGTGATGTATGAAAAGGGGACAGCATAGTCTCCTTCTCATCATTAGGGTCTCTGGATGCCAAACCATGCAAGGCAGCAGAGCAGAATCTAGTTTCTATACTTTTTTTTTTTTTTTACTCCTGGAACTTGCAGCCTCTGTGACATAGACACAATATGTTGTAACTGGAGATATGGTCTGTTGGATGTGAAAGGCAAGTGTTATTAAACCAAACATAATGGGTTGTGTCATGTCTTAGTTGTGTTAACTATGAAACCCATGATCTACTGCAATGTTTCATTTTCAATATTGCAATCTCTGATAGAGGACTGTGGTAACAGAGACTGGTGCATTAGTTGTGACCATTTAGTTAGTCTTGTTTCTGTTTCAAAGCATTTAATCACACAATTTTGAAGATCAATGTGTTTTCCTTCTAGAAGTACCAAAAACATGCAATGAAAAGGATTAATTTTTTTGTGGATTGCTCCAGGTACAAAAACCACCTTTATCTTGATTGCATTTCAGATGTCTAGGACACACAATGCTTTCCAGTTTAAATTGTTATTCTTTTGCCCAAGACCGTTGCAATTTGGTAGCAGATAAATAGACTTTTAAAACATACCCCGTGTTATATTCAGAGTGCCAGAGATTGCCACATGATAGCAACTTAAATCAAGACAATTTCAAGTCACCGATGAGATGCAGAATGCTGGCATTATTCCTATTTCTTGTTTGTTAGTAATAGCTTGACTGAGTATTGAGACCGAACCCAAAATGCTGCCATCAGCACCAACTACCCTTTAGATTAGAACACATCTCCTATTCCCTGGCACATAGTTAGACCAGCTTAATGTCAGAGCATAAAAAAGATACTTGTTAAATAATTTCCCAAAGCTCCTTCTCAATCTTTAATTTGTTTTTCTTTTTTTCCTTTCCTGCACCCCCCCCCCTTTTTTTTTCTCTGTGCCGAAGGGTACGCCATTAAGTCGGGCTGATTTAAGGGCTGTCAACATCAACCTCTGCGACATGTGCGTTATCCTGTCAGCCAATCAGAATAATATTGATGATGCTTCGCTGCAGGACAAGGAATGCATCTTGGCGTCACTCAACATCAAATCTATGCAGTTTGATGACAGCATTGGGGTCTTGCAGGCTAATTCCCAAGGTAAGGACTGCCCTATAATACTTCTCTGCAGTGCCTACAGGGGACAGGACCTGGCAAGAAGAATATCCCTCACTCAGTAATTCAAAGAGCCCTACATCAGCTTGCCTGACAGTTAAACCTGCTGATTGGTATGATGGCTTTTAAAGGGACAGTCACGTAGTGTCTCTGCTACATCACAAAGCACATCTTGCAGAGGAAAAATGAATGAACATGAATCTTTTTTTTTTTTTCCCTCTCTTTCTCTTTTTTTTAAAATTGTCCTAAAAAAATGATGAAATCATTGCTTGCTCACCATGCCCTGCTCAGTGGTTTTCTTATCAGGGCAGTTGATGTTATAGAGTCAAAGCTAAGTCATAGTAACTTTGGAATACCTTAAGCCTCGGTATAAAAACATTTCTCTTTTATGTAAAGCACATTGCAGCCAGAGAGAGAAAGAGTTGAGTAGTACAAGGCACAAAGTTAAAAAAAAAAAAAAAAAAAAAAAAAAAAAAAAAAAGAGCAAAAATTTTAAATAAAATCTCTTAATCTCTTTATACTTCGTGTGCCTTCTTGTTCAAAAAGCCACTTAGAATTAACTCAAAGCTGATGTCTTCCCATGCTTTGACATGTACTCATCCCATTTAAGGATGTTGATCAAAATCTTTCAGTCTTTGCTGAGAGTAGGGGACTGATTCCTTGGTAGCTGAAGGCTATTTTACACCAACTGTGGCTGTGCAAAGCAGCTGAAAAGCAGTCATAAGCATCCTGGCAAAGACTATCAGTGTAAAATTAATCATCTTTCCATCCCTGAAGGGTCTTGCAGCTTATGCAGCTCAAGTCCTACCTAGAAAGTGTACAGTAAATACTCCCTCTGGATCCAGCCCTGCTTTAAATGTAGGTGTAGAAAGGGTAGTGTTTTGGTCTGCAGTTTCCCCATGAGCCTGACCTAGAGATAGTTTTACCTCAAGGAGAGGGAGAACTAAGACTAAGCTCTTTGTCTTCACACTCTATTCAGGAATTTAGAATTATGAGTCAAGTATCAGAAGCTCAGAAATATATCTTCTTGAATAGAATATGGAAATGTCTCAAATATGGAAAATGCTCAGAATAAGAAAGAAAAAAAAAAAAAAAAAAAAAGGAATTTAATACCAGACCCTGCTTTGAGCAGGAAGTTGGACTAGACATCACCTGATGTCATTTCAAACCTGAACTGTTGTATGAATCTGTGACTGTAATACTCAGGTTGCTTCTACGGTACAGCCCCTATTGCTCAGGAAATGTAGACTAAGATCATGGTCTAAATCCCTTCAGACCTGTTCAATGGTGTTGATGCAGAGAAGCAGGGGGACAATAGGCTAGTTCACAGGAATTCCTGGCCATTTCTTCAGACAAATATTATTCTGTGTGTAAAAAAGGTGACTCTTTCTGCAGATTTTCTGTGGAAACAAGACATAATATAAGGCAGATGACCAGGAGCACCGACTAGGAGGTGTTATTTCTAAAATTAGTTGGTTCATATGTATCTTCCCAGTAAATTCTTTGACTATGGTGTCCATAACTACTGAATTGGTTGCATTGCTTTCAGTGCTGTAAATTTTCTAGAAAGACCTTGAATGCAATGGTTAGTTTTTTGGAAGCAATTAGATCAATAGATAGCACAAACTTTACCAGAAATTATATCCAATGCAACATTTTAGATGACAAAATGAACTTTTAACATATAGTGGTCACAACTGTTCTGAAAATTATATAAACAACATGATTCAACTTTTGCTGGTCAAGAAGTGGCATACTAGAACCACCTCACAGCTTATTACTAGCAAATAAATACTTTTATTTACAGCATGAATGGGCACTGTACTTTTGCTTAAACATTTGTGTATTATGCAATGTACTTATTCTGGGTAAACAATCCAGTTCACATCAGCTTATACAAACTTTAAGTATTGTCGGTCTAAACTTTTTAGTTCTGGATACATGACTTTGAATTCTGACTTTCCTCACCACCACCATGTTTTGTGCTGCTCTTTTATGTGATGCCTATTACTGATCATAGGGAAAACTGACATTAGAAAATCTGGGTATGTGAAAGAATGTCAGCTGACCTTTGACAGGGTGTTGAAAAGAAAAGAAACAAAACGAAATATGTGAACAGCCTGAGAAACACATGGCCTACATTGCAAGATCTTTGGTGAGGGAATTAATGTGTAGTCTTACCCTTGCTATCCCAAGTAAAAAAGTTAGTATAAATCTGTAGTCACTTGAATCTCATATGCAAACCTGATACATAAATTATGTTTATTTTTAGGGGGACCAGGGGGCTCTGGCAGCCATAGGCAGGCACCCGTGGGTGCCCACATCCATGAGCTCGGTGGGGTTTGTGGTCAGTGGCTACAGCTCCCCACTACCGAACCAGGAGCATCTCTGCAGCCCTTCCCTGAGGGTGACCTGCCACCTTGGCTCACAGGGGCTCAGGATGCTCAGCTGCCAGGTGGAAATGCCTCTTTGCTCCCACTACACAATAATTAAAATGAGGAGTAGTTTTGTTTGTTGTTGCTGTTGGTTTTTAGCTCTTTGAGTGATCTTCTGTCCAGAGAAGATGAGAGGATTTTGAGAGATTTCTGATTAGGTACAATTAAGAGGAGAAGAAGAGGAAAAAAAAAAGAGAGAGAAAGCAAAAGAGGGAACTAATACAATCAGTTGTCTGAATGAGTGAGATAGTAAACAGTCCATCGACCTCAGGTATGTCTCTTGTTTACGCTTCAGCTCTTGCTTTCAGTCCTGTGTGTGCAGACACAGGCAGTACTAGTGTACTTGGAAATACACTTCCAAGGCACAGAAAATAAAATATATACTGGATCAGAGCTACAGCAGACACTGGACTACCCCATCAGCTGTCTAACTGACAGCTACACAGAACTATGAAGCAACATGCATTAGAAGGAAAAGCATACTAACTGTTCTGGAGGTACTTGCTAATTTTCTTTTCATAAAATGTAGTATGTAATTGTGTTCAAAATTAACAAGAAACTTCTTCAAAGTGAACTTGTGTTGTTGAAGGCTCTCCTGCTGAAAGCAGTCTCAGGGCCTTTGAAGGTTTCAACGCTGGCTTGGCAACTCCTTAGACCCACTAAATGTAAAGGGTACAGACTCTGATGTCCTGAAAATGAACTTTTTCAAATCATCAGGGCAGTTTGTTGCCTTTGGGAGATGTAGATTCTAAGGACACAAGGCCAAAAAGCATGTCCCATTGAAGCTGCAGCAAAACTTATCATTTCCCTTAAGATACCTCAGCTTCTGAAATATGAAATGCTGTAGAGTTGCCTATTCACAAAATGACTCATAATCTCAGTCAGATGTCTTATTTGTGATAAAAGAAGTCATGTTTATATCTTTCACTTCCTCTAGAACTGTTCATACAAAGGTACAGTTGTGGTGGTGGAAAAAAAAAAAAAAGAAAAAGCCACACTCAGGTAGTGGAGATTTGTTTTAACTGTCCCTTGTTCTTTCCAACTCTCAATCTGTGCCCTCAACCAGAAAGTGAGATTATTTTATCAAGAGGTAGTTTGGAGAGAAGCCCAAAGAATATTAGATCCATGGTAAGCATTTGTGTACCCTCGCAATAACATTTCTCCAAAACACCCAGGAAGGAGTCTAGGATGGGCTCTGCCTTGGGCAGTATGTTGGGAGATCCCCAGTAATTCTCCTTTCCCTCCTTCTGTTGACCTTTCCATCCTTTCCTCCTCAAGTAGTACCTAATAACTATTTCCATATATTTTTTTCATATTTACTTTATTTTCTTTCAGTCTTACATTGTGGGAATTTTACTTGTTGGTTTAGCCACCGGATGAACAGGACCCAACACAAAATATTTTTCTTCAATTGTAACTAAAACTGCTATTTAGCTTTCTTCCCCCAAAAACAGAAAGACAATTATACCTAACTGTTCATAGATTTATAAATACTGTACCAGAGTAGCCTTTGGGTAGTAACTCCAGACACACAAGTCAATAATTTTCATTTATTGGACAGTGATTTAGATCTTATTTTGAGTCCCTTATAGTAAGAGCAGTACATTTCATTAAAAAAGCACTTACTAAAGAGTAGAAAAATAAAAGTTAAAAGAAAAAAAGCAGTCATGGCTTCAAGCAGGTTTAAAGGACAGAAAGGCGAGGCTGTATAATAACATTTTTTCAATGGACATTACAAGACAAATCACAGTACAGAAAGGTAGTTGTATTTCAGCATAGTAGCAATTGCAGGTCCTTTCTGAAGGGCTTCAACATATGAGAATTTTCCTTAGGAACTCTTTCAACATGAGAGATCTTCCTAAGGCTTCCATTTACAGTTCTCGTAAAAGATCCTCCAATGAAAAATAAGAAAGAATAAAAAATAAAGAGAGGATGAACTGCAGGGTAATACATCTCACATACATCATGGTAGGATTCTTTTGGGGAAAATCCTATAAAATCAAGTAAGCATACACAGGATTTTATACGTGGACTTTCATGTGTATCCGATTATATAAGCTAAATATCCTTGTACAAGTTTAGTTTCATTTGATCTAGTTCCTTTAAAAATCACTGGTGCTTTCATCATAATTTTTTGCTGGTACAATCCTAAATTTTGATTTAGGAAGATGACAAGAGAAGATGTTGGTACTCATTAGCCACTGAGTGTCCTTAGATTCATTTCTCAACCTGTTGGTTGAGTCTTACATTACTGCAATTTTGGTGGACTTTGTCCCCCAATCTGCTGAAAGAAAACTCCCATTAAAACCAATTTCAGATCTATATTCTGTTGTCTTTGCAGGTAATAATTTATTTTTCACCTCTACGAATAAATTGTTCCTGATTGTTTTATCTAAGATGTTAGCAAAAGAGAGAGAACAATAGTGTTATCAGGATTGGAAATAAGGGAAAGTCTTAAATGAAGAGAAAGGATAAATACTGTCTGAAAACCTTTAGTTAGCAAAGGTGCTGTGTCATTTTCAGAGATAACTGTATTGTAGTGTCGTTAGA